AGCAGGGCCGCATAGCAGGGGATAGATGTTGGGGAAGTGATGTGTATCCACGAGGCGGTCGAGCCAAGAACTGCCAGAGATCTCGACGCCGACCACCGGCTTCGGCTGCAAGTCAATACAAATAAACACGCGAAAGGCAACAATAGCGGCGAGTAAAAAGCGGTGGAGGCAACAATATGTTGAAACATCCTTGCCTCCTCAGTCTGGCTTGTGTCTTTGCGCGCCTCAATGACAGAACGGGGTGAAGGGGAGGAGTGCAAAAGCATGAAGTCGCTCGCCCTCATGCCTTTCCCGTTCTCTTCCAACCACCGCTTCGACCCTCAGAGTGCCCGATTCTGTTGTTACTACTGCCACTGTTGCAGGGCAGCAGCGACGCAGCCACAGTCGTAATGGAGAATGCGAGGCCCGGTAGAGGATGTGACGCAAGCGCTAGGGATAGTGGAACCAGCAAAGGCAGTCGCAACAGAAAGACGAGTTACGGACGCCTCCTACTTGGCGCCTCCGGGGACGAAAGTGACGAGAAATAAAAATATACGGTTACAGCAACAGCAGCCAGCAGCCATGAACGACAATAACGACAGAGGGAGCAACAACATCAGAAGAAAGAAGTACGACGACGCCGCCAACAACAACAACAACAACAGAGGGTCGGGGCGACGCAATACGAGCAGCTGAGTGAGTAGACGAACAACTGTATGTCGACTGCAAAGGGTAGACGACGCACAACGCTCTGGGCTTGGGATTCGATGTTGTGCTGGCCTCACTTCGATGACATGGTTTGTTGGTGGCTTGTCCAATTGAGTGGTTTGGTGAAAGCACGCATTGTAGGCTACAACTTCGGATCTGCGGACGGTTGTTGTACTGGCCGTATTGGCTGGGCCGTACGGAACGCCGTAGAGCAAAGAGAGAAAACGGCTATGACGACACGTATTGGGGTGGGCACAGTGGTCTCGTGCGGTTCACTAGCGAGGACTTATTTTTTTCTGCTAGGGAAGTCGCACGCAAAATAGAGAGAAACGCTAGGAAGAAACGACCAAGGATTTAAAATGTCGTGGCACTACTTGGTGGAAGAAGGCAGTATTGCGCTCTCTGGCAGTAGCAGTACTCGGCCAATAACAGCAGAACGAAAAGGGACCACAAAAGACGAGAAGGAATGTAAAAACCAGAGAACGCTAGAAGGACGCAGTAGTTTGGGGACGCAGGCCTTACACAACGAAACTCTCCCTTCGTCGTCCGCGTCACCTACATGCGAAAGGAGCAGTAGCAATACGCCACAATAAGCACAAAAGCACAAGGGTGTTTAGTCGGTCATGTATCGATATAAACACCAGAAGTTCCTGCTAGATAGAGTGTTGCGTGCGCTACCAATGACTGTAACAAAAAAGTGCGCGGAAAATACTGGCCCTCAGTAGACCTGCCAGAAAACATGAAGCTGTCACACACATAGCTCATGCCGACACAATAAGTCTGGCAGAAGGCTTTCTAGTCTGACTAGCGATGGACCTAACGATGCAAAAGGTACTTTTCGTTGCCATTTTCGTTCTTCTTTCTCTACACACTGAACAGCTTATCGAGCCTGGGCCCGATAACACGAAGACTCTGCCCGCGGCCATCACTCGAGCGCTCTGAGGTTCGAACAGCTCCCGTTCGACAGCAAAGGCCAGCACCCACGAAATTAGCACAACGAATTCCATTTCGCAGGACCGCAGAAAAGGGGACCAATGCCTTGGTCAGATCGGAGCCACCCTTAGCTGGGCGCCAGTATAATAATGAATGGTTCACTTTACGCTAACACAACCGTGGCGCTGCGATCGGGCTGCCACGACGATATGGCAATGAACGCGACACAGCATGGCGTTTCTCAGTATGGCGACAATGTCTATAGTGCGACCCAGGCCACACAAGTGCCAAATTATTGCATCGAATTACGTTGTCAACAGCGATCTTTTCTTCGTGCGATGCCACATACATAATTATGCATAGTTGTTCAAACAGGATTCTGCACTGATAGATTGCCTTGGGTTTTACAATTTTTAGCGAAGACCACATGCCATACACGATTAGCGTAGCGCCGAACCAACGGCCATCGAACCCTGACCTGGCGATCGCACACGCCTTCACCGGTATCCTCAATACGAGTCAGGTGTGAAATATGGCTGATTACGAATGGACAATAAAGCTGTTTCATTAAAGTCAGGATCGCACGAATAGAATTAACAGCAGCAGCGGCTTCTGATGATCCAACGATATGTAACTGTACACATTGTTCGCCAGCCGTTGCATGGGCTACAGCTTACGATTACATGTAATACACAATTTATGCCCAGATCGAACAAGAAAACCCAATAGAGATCACTACAACATTTGAATAAACTTTTGGATTGGCTATACCGGCGACAACTGAATTCAAACGTACACCACAGACCGCAGAGACGAAAGAATATCCCCGCTTTAATACTTCAGTCTCACAACAATTAACAGTTGTCCACTCTCCGCCGAACCCTTGCTCGCACTTAGAAAAAGGGCGAAGACCAAAAGAGAAAAGGTACTTGAGTTACGTGTAGACCTTAGGTGTAACTAGCTGAGTAAAAGAGCTGGTTGCTACATCGAAGCTACAAGCAAGCTAATAACTTGCTTACTGGTCTGGCAACGGATTTGACTATGCGTCCGGCAACAACAGTTTTACAAAATGTTCCTTACGAATGATAGCAGTTGCTGCCGGCCATGGAGACACCCTGACCTTTAGTAGTGCAGCTTGACGGTCCCGTGGTCGAGGTCTCACTTACGGCTGCGTCTTACCCACAGGCGACTCAATTTTGAATCGCTTGATTTTGCCAGCCTTCGCTATCGTCTCCTTTTGTCTACAAACTCGTATGAAAATAAAAGGGTAGAAGAAGCTAAATAGGCGTTTCAAGGTCCTGCTCGGAATGGGGGTGGTAGTTCCAGAAATCGATGATTGCGGCGCGCATCAAAGCGAATAGACTGGTAGACTCTGCTTCGTAAGCGTAGTCATCTCCATCATAGAGAGACTTGTAGTGGTTGCAGTGGTAGCCGTAGCTAGCGGCGGTGCTAGCGTCAGTAGAAACCGTAGCCTTTGGCTTAGTCTTGCGTGGCGGGATCGACGATCGGTCAAGACACGGATGTCGTAGCTCGACACGTAGATCTATACAATTGCCTCTACCATGTGCAGTGCTGCTTCAGTCTCTGGCTGCGTCAGCGAAGGAACTATGTAGGGATACAGAGCTGACTGGACTTGTACCGAGTACAATGTGTGCTTGAGATGTGTTCACCACGCACGCAGTGCCGGGCTGGCCTGATTAGGGCGAGGCAAGGCACCAATGCAGGAAGAGAGAGAACGGTCAACGGGGTAAAGCGCGTCAGAAACGTGTTATTGACGCTCGTCTCGTTGTCAATCAGAGTGGTGCCAGCAGCACAGCACAACATCATACGTGACAACGCTTCTGCCGTCCGGTGAGTTCTGAGCGGACGACTGTGCGACGTTTGTGCTACGAGCACAGAGTAGCAGTTAGACAGAAAAGGAAGGGGGGGGGGGAGGGGATAATGCCTTTTCTTCTTTAACATTGAGTGTAGAAACGAAGATCTTCTACGCACGGAGCAAAACGGATGTGTTCTGGCCGGCTTCCTATGAGGCTGTGTGTGCGCGTGAATGGATGTGAACAGAGGATTGTATTTACTTTCAAATTTTGTTGCACGAAAGAGAAATCTGTGCAATGGCGATTCTGCTTTGGAATCGGCGTCGTCGGCCAATACTGGACGAATAATAGGATGATGTTCACTACCGCCCCCTTCCGCGACATTGTGAATGTCAGATGACGACCCAGCAATCGGTGCTGGCACAAGATGGATAAGCGCGTACAGGACCCGATCGTGGGTAGATAGAAGCAGGAAGGTCTACGGCGATGCCAACCAGTGCACAGTACAAGGCACAAAAAATAGCGACAACACAAATACTTATACACTCGGCAGTGCACTCATTCTCGGTGGCACTGATGGCAGAAGGAACACAGCGTACCCGGACATTCAAAAAAGGGAAGAATTGCTGTGCCGCCCGAGTTTAGGCTTTGAGGCTAGCTGTATTAGTAGTCTGCTCTTGGTTCCTGTTCTGAGTCTTGCTTCACGGTCATTTTTTCCTCCGCTTTTAATTACTTATTGGGGAGCGTTGAGATTCTTTGCTCAATTCTGGCCTCCTGGCCAAAGTCAGTCAGGGCAACTGTTACGCCCAGGGTCGTTACTGTTTTAACGGAGCAGTTGGGGTCGCTGTTTGAAAAAAATGGCATTGTAGATTGTGGGAATGTCCCCTGTTTCACTACCTTAAGTTATTACGGAAGACTCGTTTTCAGATGATTTTCGTAGTATATCTATGTATATAATTATTCTGGTAGTCGAGCTACCGTTGGGTAATATAAAAAACTTGGCTAGGTCCCTCCCTTTCTCGCTCTTTGTCGGTTTTGCCAAGACATACATTTTGCTTACTGAAGAAAAACAAGTTAAAACGGAGAGCAGGACGGACAAGCGACAAGCTTGGGTACCCTCAACAAAGGTGCTGGTGTTTTTGTATTTCCATTTGATGGATTGTCATAACGTTGAATTTTCATTGTTTTCGCAGCTATTTCTGTTGGCCAATATTACGGCCAATATATAGGACACTAAAGTGTCCTGTACCGCCCAAACTTTTCTACCCTAGCAAGATGCCGTTTGGCTAAAGAACAAGTGTTTTTAGCATCGGCGTCGGCATCTGTTCCGAACGGTCGAGGTCCGTACATAGGAGGGGGATGACGAAGAATCCAACTTAGCTCTATTCAACAGCGAGCTACTTAGTCACAAAAGCAGTATTCTGGCGCGACCAACGTGATATAACTTGTGTTACGGCACTAGACTCCTACGCGATGTTAGCAAAGAACCCTATCATTGTTTTCGGCGGTGCTCTACTCGGACCGTGGATGTGTTCGTTATCATTAGATTAGTATATATACACTTGCCCTCCAGGTGACTTTGAGAGACTGTGATCCGGTGGCGTGAATCGCAATCGCCGTTGGAGATCCGGAAGGTGCTGCAAGTGACAATAAAACAATTAGTGAGGTAATCAATGCATGAATTAATTGAGCATCGGCGTGATTCCCTTGGTTAGATTTCTAATCAAAATTTTACTTCTACCTCAAGTCTTCACAAAGTCCATGTACTTAATACGCTTGCGTATATCTGCAATCATTATTCGAAACTTGAAATGCAAATAAATCACACAAAAATTGTAAATATAAGTAATAAATATTCACGTATAGGTTGTACTCAACTGCTGTAATATTCAGCTAAAAAAATTCTGTCACAAGGAGGCAACACGACAAGGCAAAGGTAAGGCAAAACACGCTGACGATATCTGTATCTCGTTACCTGACAATGCATAGTAGCGTAATGTATAGAATGAATAGAGCGGTAACATCAACGCGATCTGTCTGTTTTTGTCTGGTAAAATAATTGTGCTATAATCTTCACCAATACATCGTATCTATCTAGGTTAATAACGGCCTATACCGGCGTTAACATATCACCACAAACCAGCGCCGACGCGAGATCACTGATCTGCTAAGACTTTGTCCGTCGTGTTTGCCGAATGACTAGTTACCCAATAGCGGCTCTATTTGGATTTGTCATACAAATACCGCTACTTGGTCCCCCGGTAGCACAGCTTTCCCAGCCACCACCTACATTCTTTCGAGGAAGACTGATAAATTGTCTCGTTCAGAGGAACATGATTCCTTCGTGGGAGTCGCCCACACAGGAGAGACCCCAAAGGGACCGAACAGGGGTAGTGGTAACGAGAGTGGTCAGCCGTCGTCCTCAAGCCCATCTTTACTCAGGGTCAAGGGTCCTGATCTCACAATGTCACTTTTACCACTGCTAGCCTGGCTATGAAAAAACACTAGCTGACATAGCTGTGCAGGCTTGTTAAGGATCTCAAGAGAATACCTCCATATTCCCGCTGCCTTTTCCTCTATACCCTTGTTTCATGTGTTACATTGCTCCCAAAGTCCAAAATGAGCGCTCAGCGCTTCAGCGATAGTATTTGGCTTCTAACACTGGCGCTGGACACGACAGCTTAAATGTACAGGTTTTTACACGCTGTTTAACCGTATACCTTATAAACATTGGAAAATAATGCGATCACCAGGCTTGGTTGTTCTTAAAGAACTGACTAAGCAACGTTGTTAATTCAGCCCTATACATAATAAATAGCAACAGGATATCTCTCAACGATATGAGTAAAAAAATAGTTATGTTGATGATGAACTGAAAATTTATTGGGCTTCAGTTGTTTTATTAAAAAAAAACACGATTTGGATATGCAGTAATTTTTTCAAAAAAATTACTTAACCCAAACATCAACAAGATGTCTATTAAATGGGTTTTTGTAACCTCACATTATATATATATATATATATATATATGTAATTTGTTGAATTTTGTTGATGCCCTGGATAGTTTGGCAAAGCGTGAGGTATTTTTCTATGAAAATGAAGTACATGCGTTCCAATACCCGCTGTTATTATATACACTACAAAGGCAGTATTTGCCAAATCAACCTAGAATACCGTCCACTGATAATGTCACATAAAGGACTCAAGCTTTTTTCGATTTTAAGGAGTATCGATTTCGGGTTTTTACACGAAAATCTTTGATATACGTACTGAACACAAAAACTCACTTTTTTTGACAAGAAAATATCATTATGTCAGCGTGCCTTTGATACTAAAATAACGAAAGTAACAAATAAGCAGCATTTATGCTTGGAATTGAATATTTCAATAGAAAATATGATGATCATAGCTTACGTTCTTCTTTCGTTGTGAAGATGATGGAATCCGTAAAGTCACTTTGGCCTAAGGCGTTCCTTGAGGCTATTCGGCACTCGTACTGTTGAATAGGCTCCAGAGGTCCGAGTACAGCTCGTAGTGAGGTTCCATTTATTTCTACTGAGCTGAATGAATGTCCCATATTTTCTGTGAAAGGTGGCAAAACAATGAAAGACAAACGAACATGTACTTAGACTTAACGACATCGGTTGTCCTCCTAATCACTCAGGTGTATTGTGTGACTAGAATATTTAACCATTTGCAGAGGAAACTCTGCCCGCCAACGTCATCAGCGTCTAGCCTACCTGTTTTCGGAGCTACCTACTGCAGTACGGCGAAAGCAAATAATGTACGTCTGGTCACGGCGGAGAAAGACAGTTGCCAAGTGATATTTTGCGTGTCGGCTGCCATCATGCTGCGATCGCTACCCGACTCGACATGGGCTAACTAGTGGCAAAGTCACATCGAAGCGTTGTCGTCAACGGGTGAACATAGCAAGATAGATCATTTCTCCAAAACTAGAGAAGTTCTTCTACTACGGTTTGGCTCACAACGTACTAGAAGGCATCCAGGATGCGGTTAGATAGGTCCACGACGTGGCCATTTTGCAAGAAGTTCACTCTGCTCGTTGCAACAAAAATAAAACGTCCTCATCGCGTTGCTAAGCAGCGTCTGCCTATATTGGTCGAGCGCATGAATGAGTAATTTCCGGCCAGTGTGTGGCCAATAACACGAGACAAAACCGGCAGCTAGACAGAACGACGACCATGAAGGCCATACGCGTTGGGCCTTGGCTACTATGTCCGAAGGAAGGGGACACCCGACATCAAAAAGAAGAACGAGGCAACGGATTCTGTCGGTTTAGGACAGACAAATAACGCACAGCTTCGAAAATAGCCAAACCGTCGAAAGCAAATTGGCATTAAAGATGGTAGCAGTTATATTGTGGCCCATACAGAGTCATTCGTACTAGTCCATATTGGATAAGGGTTCATTTTAGAAACAGTGTGTGTAGGTCGAGCTATCTGTGAATTGTGTAAGAAACAAAAACAAGATTGGACGAACAGATTTGAGATTATATATATAAACGGATAGAAAAAATTGCAGAGGTGTTTACTAGTAAACAATGTCAGTTGAATGTGAACTGTATAATTCAAGTGCCTTCATGTGAACTCGCTTTATGTGAAAATATATACAGTATAAGATATGATGAAGTCAAATAATAAAGTTGAGAAAATACTTGGTCGAAGATGGTGGTTTATTTTCTTTGGGGGGGGGGGGGGGTGTCAATTAAGTTTAGGTACATACGAATTTGGGTTCTAACCTTTAAATAAATACTCTAATTTTAATTGTGAACACAATTTGTCTGATACGGGATTAATGCATTTTCTGGCGCAAACTTGAAGTTTTCGTTTACTAAGTGGATCTAATATACATAATAGTTATACACAGGGATCTATTAAGACGATCATGACAATCATTCAGACGATTCGAGTCTTTCGAGTACCGGTACACTTTTCTAAATTCTAGTCATATCACTTACGCGTGATCGAGCTTTGATGCTTTGAAGAACCACGAGAACGCATCCCACCACGCATATAAACTAACAGCCAGCAGTTCTCGATCAGGCCAGAAGAAGAAAACAGCAATTGTCGAAACAGCTCGGCCAACCGAATTCAGATGGCGCCAGAACAGAGGCAAATAATTCGCTCGCTATCTTTATTTAACTAAAAAAAAACTACCTCTAAGTGGTAGCAGACGCGGGCGTATTTTTCTTCCTCCATTCGAAAGATAACAGAAAGTAAACGCAAAGCTAATGCGCATCGCTGAGCCAAACGGGAACCAGCCAACAACCAACGTTCAGCTATCCTGAGATCACAAGTATACGCACAAATTCACATATGGCGCTCCGCACATTCTGTTACCCCCGTAGATGGTGGCAGGTCTCTTGAACGCTGCTTCGAATACTAGTTGCTTGCCAGGCTTCGTTCTTTTGTGCCTTTTGCGTTGTGTTTCTGCCGCAAGTCGCGCACTGGGCCGGGACATGGACGATAGCGTCTCTTGTGAACGTTTTTGTGTGCGAATGTTCTCGTGCTCATTGGTTGCTCCCTTAGCTGCTCCGCTACGCTTGTGGGCAGTGGACTGACGACCGCTGTGCAGCGGACGCGACTTGTCTAGCAAGTGCAGCACTCCGCTCGACCTTCTCTTCCTTGTCTAATGAAAGAGTTTCATCATAGCGGTACGACGCGTTTTCCCAACGTGCTCCCCAAACGGTACTCAGACGAACATGGCATATGCTAGTGGCGGAAGCACCGTTGAGCCACGCTCCCAAGCACGACCGAGCATTCTGGCCGATCTGTTGATTACAATGAGAAGGACTCAATTTAAAACGTATGTCGCCATACATTCGTGCCTGTCTGCCTGTAAGTTGCTTCAGGTCGCTGACCTAATGTCAAGTATTATAGAAAACTTGTTTAGATAAAGGTCTTACACATTTTTCTTCATTTAACTAACCGATCAGCTCAGCCGGTTCAGTCCAACCGGCCCTGTCTCAGTCTTTGTAGAATCGTCAAAATGGGCGACGAGCTTCGCCTCAGCTGCCGTCCCGTCAGCTGCTGGCTCAGTTAAGTCTTTAGACGAGGTGGGCAGGACAGATTTGGAAATTTTGGCAAGTTGAAGCGAGAACGGCAGCAGCAGCGGCGGGCGTCAACGAAGCCGCTGTTGCAGTGTGCTCAACGGGAAAAGAGGTTAACCAAGAACGCCTGACCCGCATACAGATATCTGACTTCGCAACTGCAAGCTAGCTCGGACTTGCGTTCCAAATCTTAGACTTCACAGACCTCTAAAGGTTTCTCTCGCAAGAAAAGGCTCTCACTCGTCTTGTGACGAGAAAGCCGTCAACCTGTCAAAAATGTCCTTTCGATCCCTAGACGGTGGCACTGTCGAGCGACGTCGAAAAAAGGTGACGCAACCTTTTTTGGACGTCGCTCAAAATCGGACAGAGAACTATTTCTAGAATCTGCAGCCCGCCTGCCTTTTCCGCCCCTCGAAGACTTAACTCAGAGGCCTGTCCGATGTTCTGCTCGCCAACTACACCGACGCGACCGACCGACAGACAGACAGACAGACAGTCACGGCCTCTGCGTCGTTCTGAGACAGCGTCTCACTCGACTTTTCGATTCCAGCTCGATGGCGCGTTTTTGAAGTCTGAAGCTGAGCTTTATAGATGCCGGAGCTTAGTTTCGTTCGGTCCATCCCGTTTTAGATGTCTGTTGGAAGTCACCATGAGTGGATTATTAACATGGTCTCACCCACCCAAAGGATAACGCATAAATACTGATTAATACGTATAGACATGTGTACAGGCCAAGTATATCACTAGTATTTCAAATGTATGTAAATGACCTAGTTTTCACAAGGCCAGTCAGTCTTTGTGACGCAGACAGCTTTGATTATTACATAAAAGTAAAGCAGAATTAATGTACCTGTTTATTCTGATTTACTTTTTTAAAATCTCTTTTCATCAAAAGATCAAATGTAGTAGTAACTGAAGTTCTTAAGTAACGACAGCTCTTCTGAGAGTCGTGTGCCCCAACGGTTACAGCTCATCAAGTGTGCTTATCAGGATTATCAATTAATTGGCAATTGCATAAACTAGCCTTCAAGAACAATATGTAAAACTGTAATAGTTTAGATCTGTAGCAGTCGAGTGCTAATCTATTTAATACACGATAGTAATTGTCAGATTGGCCAGTTCTCACTACGCGAATGTGACCTTACCTGAAAGAAGTTCGCTTGCGATAGGGATTCAATTGATAGATTCATGCTCTAAAAAATGGCCAACCAGTGTTGCGTTTATGAAACTCGATGTATGGAAGTTGTAATTTTTATCACATTTCTTCTATCCGACGATGGGTGCCCGTCCATCAGGTCTGTTATGGTTTATAGCCCTATTGCCAAAAAGATTTTCCGCCCTGTTTCAGTCCTCTACAACACGTAGGAAGCTTTGGGGACGAAACTCCCTTCATATAAGGATGCGCACACGTTCGATATTCCTATTATATCGTCCGTAGGGATACTTGTTTCCTGCTCCTCCTTACGCCAAGAGGCTCTTGTGGCACCATTCAGTGCAAACGGTTGATTTGCGGTGTTTAGCTGAAATGCTATTCGCCAAAGTCCATCCGCGCCGCACGATACCGTGTATGTAGTTAAAAGAAGGAAGGCCAAAAGCTGAGAAGAGGCTTCACAAATCGAGACTAAGCGGTAAAGTAAGACTAATTGCTAAGCTCTAACAGCGCGTACTGGCAGTGTGCGCCAATTGGGCTCGTTTCTATGTAGGGAGCCAAAACTGGACTAGCGATTACGAAAAACGTCGTGCAAGCGATGCACGATAGAAAAATGTCCAGATACCGTGAATCTTAGTTCCACCTACAAACCCAGCCGGAATCGACAAGATATCGATCATTCTATTATTTATGTTCCTCCCTTTCTCTGTTTAATTCGATTGTATCGGTCCTATTCAAGTGGCGAAAAATAGTTAAGAAAAAGCATTCACGGTAGCTTCGAAAGAAGAACTTCGAAACAGGTAAATGCGACAAATGTTTGGCGGTACTGGTTCCGCTCATTCTTAATTGGAAAGTATCTGCTGATGTTCCCGGCCATTCAAAAGTTGCTGAATTGGCTGTCTCGGAGTGAGTATATAGGGGTTAATCTATTTCACGACAGTGTTTGTTACAGATGTTTTTACCACTAACACATGTTTCTTTTTCTAATTCGAATCCGAATGAAAAACAGCTACCGAACTATAGGACATAGTTTCAATACACTATTCGATGGTATTGCAAGAGCTGTCTGGCTTCGTAGCCGTAAAGCGTAAAGTTTGTGTGGACTAATAGGTAGCAGTAGTGGATATGTAAGTTTCCTCACAATAGAAAAATAAGGCAACCAATCAATTTATGAGAGACATTACGCGCTTCCGCACACATATGGGTGTCCACGCATAGAAGTGTCCCAACTACATGATGGCACATTAGCTGAGAACGCCGCTAAGTCTATATAGTAAACTGATTCATTTACACAGTTCATCTGCACAGTGTCGTACAACCAGCACACGGTCATAAGAAAGAGTGGACGAATTTTTAAACTTCCAACTTGTATTTGAGCCTGACTGAATAGAGTTCCGAAAGCAAGTTCGAAGGCTATAAATAGCGCTGGTATGACGTTTCCACTGACACTCCGACAGAGTTTCCTCATACACACTTAAATCGCTCAACCGATGTCACTACGAAAAATGATGACAGCTTACGGGGTTAGATTGCATAAACGTCCCTTCATCTCAGTTGTGTTAATGATAAACTTGTTCTACAATGTCTTGTCTGTTTCATTGATGACAAATCATTCAACTAAGGGACAAAGCATCGTCAACATCGTTATCATTTTATTTGCGATCAGCTAAACGACATTAAGACCGGTACATAACTTTGTGCCAGTTGAGATAATTCACATACTTACACTTACCCATATGCGGCTTGTACTGGATGATATACGAGCTGATGGCGCTATTCCCGTCGAACAACGGCTGATTCCAGCGAAGCGTGGCGTTTCGACCGAACACTTCGTATACAGCCAGCTCGCGCGGGCTTTCGGGAGGCTCTGTAATTTCGACATCGTGACAATGTGTATTCTTGTTTGGTGACGTGCAGTACGTTAGAAAATAATGGAGGCATGTGTAACTTTACTCCATCACGATCCGTTTGAATTCTGCCAATGTTACCCATGTCACTAGAGATTTTTTCGGCAAAATGTGCAGCAGTCAAGGCCTTATGTAAATACTTTTGCGACATAATGCCTTAGTAGAGGCCCATATGGGACGCCGTGCGTACCGTGCCCGTCACGTCTTCGTGAGATTCAAGCATGCTTGATTTACATGGAATTTTCTTTTAATTAGGATATACAGCTCCTGACGTATTGGCAGTTTTATAGTACGACACGAATCTGCAGTCAAGTGCGTCTAACTGTATTGACGTACGTTTTTCAAGTCGTCACAAAACAAGCTCATAACCGTCCAGCTTATATGCTCGATGTTCTAGAAAAATTGGCTTAGTCAATGTTGGCTATATAAGTATAAGGCGAACGAATGGATGTTATGTCAATTACCTTGGACGATAACGTTTATGTAAGTATGATCGTCTCCGAATCCATTCTGTGCCTTAAAGGTGTACAAAGCTGAGTCCTCTCTTCGAGTTTCTTTGATTGTCAGATTTACAGCGTTGCTACCATTTATGGTTAGCTTGCATCTACAATTAATGTAGAAAAGACAGATTAAAATATGCGTTATCAAGCTAAAGTATATGCATTTACCTCTCTTTCTAGTAAAAGTAATAGAAATAAATGTCGAACCTTCTGTCTGTTGAATAGCCTTCGTTCTACGCGATGCCTAATTGCAGAAAGTGTCGATAGATTTCAAATTGATGATCGTAACATTAACGAGAACAAAGGCATTAGGCATATTTAGCTCTTGATCCTTCTCGCTTTGAACCCTTTACGATTTCGTCTTTGGTCGAACAAGGGACAAAAGCTTCGCTCCGTTGTCCCTGTGTCCTGTTTCTCGGCACATTCGGCTTCGTTGCGAACATTGTGGAACTTCCCTTTAGGGTATCGATTCATGCGCGGTGATTTCTCTCAAGGACACTGAATATTCATACGCACCTATTTCATGATTACCTGGTTACGATAGCTGAACTGCTATCGATGCATTGTAAATGCGTCTGAACGGTAAACGGTTTTACAGTATGGAATGCATGCGTTACGCTATACCACTATCGGGAGTAGGGAAATTCGAATTCGTCACAGAATGGCCAACGGACGGAGGCGACTGGTGAGGGTGGCTACCAGCGTCGACACCCGGAACTCTCTGGCGGCTTGCTCCGCAGCGCGTGCGCCGATCTGGCAAGAGAGAAAGGGAATCATTGCTAGAAGTTGCGTCGCGAGCCAGAACTCGAGGCGGGGGCGCGTGAGGCGTAGGGAGAGGTGGTTAAGGCGGAAATGTGACGATACTGCTGCTCTGGACGCTCGTTCTCTACCATCACACAGGGAAGCGCTGCTTTGGGTTCAGGCGAAGGGGGAAGGGAGTCGTTGAGTCCCAATGAGAGAGTTAGACCAAACTGGCACCCGCAAACTCCCGTACAATTACACCGTTAGGGCCATAAATGTGTAGCCATTCCGTAGTGGCACCACCATCGTCAAATATATAGTCGTAGTAATGGCAGTTATAGTAATACATTTCGTCGACACTTACCTCTGGGGTTCACAGATGAAAGTTTGGAAATTACGTTCATAAAAGAACTTGGTCTTGATCGCTTGGTTGCCGGTTATGGCGAGGTGCGCGAATGCGGTAAGATGGGCGCCTCGTTCCACGCTGATGGTTTGGTAGATCTCGCTGAATTGCGGTCCACCTGTCGGGTACAAAAAAGGTAGAAAGGGAAAGAACGGCATGGGAAGAACGTGCGCGTCGTGGCGGTTGATGAGTTGAGGCGGGAGCTCAGAAAGAGGAGCAGCGGAGCCGCCACCAGTTGAAGCAGGAGGGCGGGATTGAACGAAGTCGATAAAGAAAATCCCGAAATGAACGGAGATTCGAGGAGTAAACGAGGGCGAGCCAGAGTTAGCGAGAGAGAAAGGTACTAAGAGTTAGTGAACATCATTGCCGTAAGCAGAGATGGTAGGTGATCAAATTTTATTTAGTTAACCGCGGGAGCAAAGCAGGTCAGGCTACTGTGTCGGTACGGCCTGAGTCGTTAGTTTTCAGACCTGAAACAGCCGTCAGCTAGACCTAGTCTTGCTTCCAGCACCATTCTTCCCGTTTTTCCCCTGTCATTCTAGATACCCCGCGCTTTCCTACGCGAGCGTACCGCGTATAGCGGATGTTTCTTTAACCCGCTTGAAGAAACGAGATCAAGAGAGACCTTGTATGTGGGAGTGAACCCTGCGAACCAACTAGTCCTCGCAAGAGACAGGCCTAAGTAAATTATTGAACACAGCTCTCGGCCGCTGCTCCCCCTATAAAGCCTGTACGTCTTTGGTATGATGAACTGGGCTATCATGAAGCGGCCAGACTGGTGAACAAGCCAGGCAACAGCAGCAGGCTCGCCTCAAGTAAACACTGAGCAATTCCTTCAGGCCGTCCCCTGAGGGCGGCTACTTACGTTCCACTCGAAGCTCGGTTGTCATCTTCTTCGGCAAGCCAACGCCGTTACGAGCCTCGCAACGATAGAATCCCGCATCGGTGTCCGCAAACACGGAGCGAAAAATGAGACTACCATTGGCATGTACCGACACTCGTCTTGAGATGAGAATCTCGTTGAACATCGAGCCGTCCGCTGAAATTGCACGTAGACAAAATAAATAGCTATATTTTTTAGGAAAACGAACGAATGAGTTAGCTAGCTTTCTAATGCTTGTAGACACCGATCTATTATCAAGTGACTTAGGTATGTCTAATTTGCATAGTCTATCTAAATATATAGATTACATGTGTGGTTGGTATCGTATTATGATAAAGTTGTGGAACATTTTGATTTCAGACTCCACTAACAAGCAGAAACGCTAATTACTCAACCACCCTTATCGAGATTTTTTTCACGCTATTTAAAACATGTTGTTATAACATATGTATATATAGGCAATATATGGATAATAAACATGCTGACAAAACATACTTAGCTATTTTCTTCAGCAAGATTTCAACAAAATTGGGAAAAAGCTCATAGTCTAAATGTTTCTTCGATATTTATTTTTGTCCACATAGACTTATAATCGCATCTATTTAGGATGCGGGTAGTTGTCAATTCAACAATACACGATTATCTAATAGTATCAGCTAATGAATCGTCATTTGTCCAGCCAACACTTCCATGTGCCTTTGGCCGTCCTGCTAAGTTTGGTTGAAGCTAGAAATGATGAGAGGTAGCAGGGGTTTACGATGCATATGCTAGTAGGAAAGAAGCACAGGATAACAATAAGCCCTAGTCCTTAAGCGATGGTTATGCGTTTTATATATTCACTATTATCATTAGTACAACTATACAATCACATTTTCGAATTGGGAGCCTATTTTTGGCCAGTGAAAACTTACGTCCTACTCAGCCTTATACCAATGTTTACTCCGGTGTATACACACTATAAACACATTTATGTCGTGCCAAAGATGACCCAGCCTGCCTCAGTCTACCTTAAGGTCAGCAGCTCTTATGGTGCGCCCGCAGATTAACATCTCATAAATGCCTCAGCTTCCATAGAATCATGGCGTATGGGGATTTAGGAGCTTCAACAATGTGTGTCTGTGTGTGTGTGCGTAGGTGTCTATGGTCAACCAATATTCGCCCGCAGTAGACACAGGCGCAGGCAGCATGGTAGAGCCGCATGCCTCCATTCACGTGACCTATACGAAATTACGATGACGAAGCTTGTCGAGTCACGCCATTGTACCATTGGTAAATCTTGGTTCCAGCTGCTGCTGTTATTTGCCTAGCAGACAAGTCGAAGGAGTAATATGGCGCACACATACAATTATTCAGGTATGGTCGCTTATCGTTCAGGATTCGTTTCCTTTGTTATCTTTGCGGTACGAAAGACGGCTCCAGCAGCCGACACGGGGCGATTCCCACGCATCCTGGACAAATCTATTTGCCATTTTGTCGTCTCGCTTCGGTACAACCGCATTCTATACAATGTGCTTCTACTAACAGGCTGGAAATGCGTGCGCTCTGATGGACCGCGTGGCTTACTGGTTGAGATTACGTGTTTGCAGCTTATTGGTCATAATCACATGAGTTTTTGATCTGCAGTTATAAATAGGGAAAGGAGCGTGTTTTGGACACTCTTACGTAAAATTGATAATCAAGTTATAATGATGAACTTGACCACGATTGTTGCGTCTGTCTGAATTGATTGCTCAGCGTAGTGTTCATATACAAAAGAATTGGTGACAATGAAAAGCAGCTGAAGTACCTGAAGATATAGGAATAATATCCACGCGTAGATTAGTCATTTTTACACAAATATGCTTTTTTTCACGAATGCAATAGACAGTTTAAGGTCACTTCAGTATTTATAGTTTGCGATGAATTAACTTTGCATAGGGCATAAAATCAAGAAACCAAAATTGCCCCAACAGAAAATACTCTTTGGTATCGAACAAAACGACAGCAGTTAAAAGGAAGCATCTTCGAGTGAGTCAACTACATTCAGGCCGAGTACGCAGACTCATTTTATCCGTTCGGGCTATATAATTTTTACTTTCTCAGTTTTCCTTATTCCTTGTAAGATCTTGTTCTGTTCGTTCTGTTTTGGAACTAGGAGGTTGGTCGTTACTGGACCCCATCTTTTTCAACGTTTGTCGAGCATTTGTCGTGTCCAAAATGGCATCGGGATGGTCTTTTTTATGTGGTCGCTGCTCGAGCAGGGATAAACGTCGTGTTTATTCTTGTTTGTTCTAGCGTGCGTCGTAACGTCCGAAATCGTGGCTGCCAGCCGGCACCATGCCGCTTGGTTTGCATCTCCAGCTCGTGGTTTGTGAACTGACAAAGTGGTCGATGCAGAATTGCATTAGAGCCGAGGTCAGTTTCATACCTCCTTCTGCCGCGCCGACAAAAAGACCCTAAAATGGTTCTATAGTATTGCACACTCCCACGGATGCCAACAGCATCGGGTAAACAACGACAACTGTAATGGCATCAGGCCCTACTAGTGGACGGTAGGCATCAACTATCCGTATACGTCTGTGGCCTGCAGACAAACCTAAGCCGGTGCGGTATCCAAAACTCAGAAAACGGAAAACGCATGTGAATGGCACAGAACCAGATAGACCCCTGCAAGTATGGCTAAGAGCGCAGTAAAGACAAAAGAAACAGGGGCAGCTTTAACTCCATCACTTGTTGCAAAATCAGTTGCAAACAGAGCCGAAGTTCTACGCGCGGGCAACTTCTTCCAGCATAATACAGTTCGCTACGCGTACCCTTTGTCTCAAGAGTAAAAGCAGCGTAGCCTGGCTATAGTAACGCTGTTGGTCGAACAGGTTTATTGTAGCTCTGCGATTGCACTATTCTCCCCCCTACAACGGCCTTGCCTTTTCCCCGTGCTAAGCTTTCGTTCGCTTAGAGTTCCCCAACCCCAAATGTGAGTTTCATCCGACTGAAGAATGACCTCGTGCATCGGTATCGATAACCATAAGGTTCAAAATAATGAGTACGAAAAAAACGACACACTGCGAGAGCTTATTCTTGTTACCAACGCGGTTGCACACTCAACGAATTAGTTGTCAGTCAGTTGTTTATATATATATATATATATATAAACAGACTAAATGCAGATTATTGCGTTGTAACATGTCTTGTTTGTTTGGCCTTCAGAAGCGAGATGGAACTCGTCTTGCCAAAACGTTAGTTATTTTGTTGACAAGAATAAGGCAGAAGATCAAATAAACAAAGAACAATTGTCCATTGTTATCGCTGGGCCTGCGTACCTTCGTATATACCTATTGTGATCATTAAAACAATGTGTATGAGGAATGAATAGAAAGAAGATGGCTTCAACGTACAATTGTATGAGCGATATTTCGATTAGGTAGGACAAACAGGACGTAACTGAGCTAAATTGCTCAGGTCATTGAGCGAAAAGAGCGTCGAAAGCACCAAGTCCAAAAGAAATACAAATGGCAGTAACAGCACAGACTCATTGTCGATGAAACACTGTAAATACAGGTGTGAAAATTGCGCGTTTCCTCTCTGTGTGGATGCACTCGATGCGTTGAATGTGGTCTTGGCGGACCTGTTCATTCGCCATCTTTCAAGCCTTTCCCATTTTCGCCATGAAGAGCTAAATCGATAACTAAAGCTTTGTTTCTGCTCGAAGCATCTTAAATAGTCCTCAGCGGCTGTTAGCCCCTTAGTGGCAATTGTTTGCGTTTGCTGCTTGAACCCGTTCCGCGCTAGCTATGCTTTTTCTCACATAACTACACCTCAGCAGTATCGTTACACTGCAAACCGGTGCGTATATTTATTATACTACTGGACTGTTATCCCTTGCTCAAACTCATAGACCATCTGTATACCTATTTATTGGACCCATTGTGTTTAGCTACGAGATCCAAGTAATGCTTTGATTGTAGTTCTTTCGCTAATATCGTTGAAACGTCTGCTAGAATACTCCTCGTTGATTCCATAAATAAAGTGCAGGTAGTATTAACCGGCAGACCAACCCAAATTCAGAAAGCAACTATGGAATAAACTACACTATATATATGGGTGTGTGTGTATGTGTATAGTTTACGACTTTTCGAAACAAGAAATCATTTAAGGGCCTGGATAACCTAAGATTTTGAAACAGAAGCACCGCAATGCCCGACAAGATTATGCGACGGAAGTCTCATATCAGCTATGCTTCATCGAATCTGATACGCGTGCTACCTTGCTTGTTTGCTCGCGAAAACCTTTTACTTGCTCTGTGTAGTGAACGAGTTCGTGACTTGGACACCGATGATGCGGAAAAAGGAAAGAAAAAAGAAGAAAGCGGAGGGCAACATAGGTGAGCTACGTTCTATTTCTGCTTGTGAATAGCAAGGCTGGAAAGGAACAGTTTTGGACCGGTTGAGCGCGCAACGCAAATCTCATCGTACGAGAGTACAGCGCCTTATATGGCCTACGGAGCCTGGATCAGGACGAAACGATGTTCGGCAAGACAGGCGAACGTCGAGACTCCGGCCGAACTGCCGGGCTTGTAAAGCCGCCCCAACAGGTGACGTGCAGCACGTGTTGTTAGTGCGTACGGAGCCCGAATCTGTCCAACTTGGCCAGCCAACCTTTATTCCAATGGCGGCTGGCGAAGAGGAAGTGGACACTTACATGGATTAAGGCAATAGCGCTAGGAGCATGAGCAGATGATGATCACGTTGATGGACGGTTAACCGGAGCAGGACACGGCTCGGAGCGAGTTTAGTGAGATTCAGTGAGTGAACTAGCACCTGACTGCAGCCTTAGCTTCAGCGTCCAGTATAGATGAATTGAAGATAATTACGATGTATTCATCACGGATTGTATCAAAGGAGGAAAACGACAGAGGGGCAAATTTAGACAGAGAATACAGACGACTACAAAGCGAAAAAGAGCGGAGTGGAGTACAACCATAAAGGTTGAGAGCAAACCGCGATAGCTTGCACGGTATGTTTCTACCGCTTACCGAACGAAAAAAAAAGACTGGCAGATCTTCAACCCTTTTTGCTTCTATTGCATTGTGCTATCCCAGACGTGCGGACGGTTCCTATAACATCTATCGGATGAGATAAGCCGAAAATGGCACTGCTTCTAAAGAGAAGCGTGAGCTGAGGTACATTACGTAGACTTTGATATTACAGTGAGTACATTACAGCGCTGCGTTTAGATTTCCTGATACGTGATCAATGAGCACTCACTTGTCGCTGACCGCTGAGCGATACGACATAATGAGGACTTAACTCATTGGCTGTGGTCTAAGATGTACAGAGACTACAGAAGAGCAGCTACCGCTGACCACGAACGCGATACAGTTCCTGAACAACTGTGAGCAGCGGAAAAGGACGAAGGGATAGTTGTCCGAAAGTAACTAACGCCTCTTCTGTCCTAATGACAGGAGTTCAACAGGCAGCGAAGCGATAAACCACCACCGGCCCTTCACGGGATTAGCAGGGGATTAAGTTAAATATAAAAAACCAACTATTTCGTTCTCTCGAAAGGACCAAAAGACGAACGGGTAAATCGCCAGCTTCACCAGGAAGTACCGCAGTAGATACTTGCTGTTACAAGCTGCTCGGAAAGTCTCTCCCTGCGCGTAGGAAGAACGCAGAGGACATCAGCTCTATTGTTCAGGAAACCTGAGATAACAAAAAGAGTAACGGGAAAGAATGACCAGTTAGGCTGACTCCACGCCTTTCTCTGTAGCTCTTGCTTTGCTCCTTGTGTCCCGCCAGAGCAGATTGTCCAATAGCGATCGTTGTCAAACAACGCGAAGGCTGGACTTCCCTTGGCTGATCGTCCAATCCAGCGAAAACCGTCAATTTCCGAACCACCGCTCATCTGAAAAGCAGCGCTTTCTTTACCTGCTTTGTTCCATAATGGAGAGGATGTTGGCTGAGCTCTCGGATTTTGAGTGGAAAAGTAAAGCGGCTAAGAAAGTGGCTGGCTCACATAAATTGGGATTCTACGATGTGCACATAGTTTCTAGTATGCTTTTTTCTTGAAAAATATATTATTTTTTGTCATGAGGTGGCGCTGTGAACGAACAGCGCTATTGGAAAGTGAGGATAACACTGTATACAACATGACCTACCTGAAATCTTTGATGCCTAGCGTTGTGACAAGGAAGAAAGAGGAAGGGTCAACTGATCAAACGGTACGCTAAGATCACCATGATCCATCACCATTGGCATTGAGTATGACGTCTTAAATAGAGCAAAACAGAGACAGCCGCTTGTTATCGTGTCAAATCAAATACACTAATATGTGCTGAAACATTCCGCAGTTACCCGCAAGCTGGGCTGAAGTAAATGCAGCGCCTCTTGATGTCTGACTGAGGAACAAGAAACGCACTGGAAGAGGCGACTCAAAGGGCAGCATACGAAACCGAAGACAATTGAGAAACTGAGGACCAAAGAGGACCACTCGAAACGAGGTAAACGGAAACGGAGCCAACGAAAATCTCCCCGGAGGAAAGGGTAGGCAATTTATTGGGTCAGCCGAATTACGTGACGGCTGATTCCAGTAGTTTCGATATATCGATATAAACAGATGAGGAGATCAGCCTAGGCCTGCTTGCGCTTGCCGAGAGACGCTGCCATGGCTCGCAGGCAAGCCCAGTATAGGAGATCATGGGAACTAGATCTTTTCCTTCTTCAAGAGACTGGAGAAACAAGCGGCCGTCAAAAGGCGGTGAGGGCAGAGGTCACCGAATTAGAGCACCAGCGTCGACTTCAGCTAAAATAGCAGTTGAGCTCAAAATCCAACGTCAAGTCACGCAATTCAAAGATTGCAGGTATGGTAGCAATCGGGGACAGACCATTGCAACTCCAAACAAATGGAATGAGCTACATCCACAGATACATAGATAATGGATAAAAATGCATGATTGCGCAATAGAGAGATTTACACACGTGTATGCAGCGAGAGTTTAACAACACTGAAGTAGTGAATAGTTATTTGAAGCAAAAGTAGAAAAACTAGGACAATACGCTTCTATTGTTTATGTTTATCATGGCATTTAGAATAATTCAGTACGAACATTTGTATTAATCGTAACTTTTCTCACATTCACTAGTTATTACTAAGCCGATATGATCATACAAAAATATCTCATTAAAGTTTCAAAGGCAGCATCATTCGCCATCATTATTATATAGATTCGAACTTCGGCAACGCCCTGGTTATAGGCGGTTTAAGATCTCTTTCTTCCTTTCTATTTCTCTCTCCGTTGCCCATTTTTACGTCCCTATGCATTTAGGCTTTGCCGCGGTTCATACTTCAGTAGAACCCATGGCCTGATGTCGGTTTAGGATAAATAGCTGAGAGATAATTTTGGTGTGAGAATCAGCCGACCGTACCATCCTCTCAGAGCTTGGAACAAGGAACGTTTGAAACAGTTTGCTAATACGTGGGAATAGCTAGGGAGCGTCGAATGTGGTCATCAACAGGACCGCCGTCGTCGAGTAATTGCCGGCCCAGGTTGTATCGATGTCCAGGCTCGGCCGCAGTCTTACTCATTCCCTAGCACGTTTGAGGTAGTTGTCGCTGCTCACCCCTCCGACGCGAATGAAGCCATTTCACTTCGTGGTGTGTTAGGATCGCCCGGGTTTGGTGGGCCGCTGCTGTTTTCTACGATCTTTGATGAGGACCGGTTGACATGCTGCCGCTAGCGTGCACGCTGTTCCCAGCGCATTTGTACTTCCGCAAGCCAGCACCAACTCTGCAGATTTTAAATTGCACTGACATACCGCCCAAAACCGTAATCTCGAGCGAGGAGCAGAGTAACGAAGCATTAATCAATAACGGGGCTTTCAGCTGTGCAGACTTCGACAAGTGCACGCTAAGGGCGAACCGAGAAGGAAGAATGTGATACAAATCAGAAGAGGCAGAGAGATAAAAAAAGAGAGCTGGCTTTCGGTGACGTCTCAAGTGGTACTAGGACTTTTTATATATTCCAGTATTAGAATTTTCTATATATTCCAGAGATTTTTGTCAGACTAAATCATATTGGTTCTTATCTTAAACTACGTTAGTTTTTCCGTTCTTGCTTCTTTCCAACAGACGCAACGGTTTAGTGAATAATAATACTTGAGACTAGGTCAACTAACCCGGCCGAATTTACTTGGCCGTCCCAGTACTACCATTAATGAATAATAATACAAGTAGTAACAAAAGTCATCAAAATTACCTTATGTGTAATTACATTAATTAGCTTGGAGGCGAAAAATCGGGTTCGGACGGGAACACACTCGGTAGGTTTCTTGGTAGTATGAGATATTTACTTAATCTTAACGATTTATCCATACTTCGAGGCATATGTGTATATAATAGCCGGCTTATGTGATCATCACTTATGTCTTACCTGATTTACTCCATGATACGACTGGAGTCGGGTAGCCTTCGGCGGGACAATCCACCCGAAATGCTCGGCCTTGAATCGCGTATGTTATGTTAATCTGTACAAAGTTGAGCGTCCAACGTGGAGCCACTGAATCATTGATGAGGTCGAAATAAGACGTAACAGAACACACAATAGTATAGAACAGTGTTAGATACATGATATTTCAAGGTCAAATACGAGCGAGCCAAAGCTGCATTGATTCGACCATCGACTGGCGCTCACGAGTTATTGAGGATGTCGCGGCCTAATAAGCGTCATAAAAAATCTATTGCGTTCAATTCTACCGCTCTCTACATACGAGCGGATGTTGCTAATATTAAGACGGAATTAATGATCCCCCACAGTAGGGCGGAATTACGTGCACGCAACACCGTAAGCTGCTTCGCGGCGGCGCTAAATCCGCGCCATTTCATAAATCTCCACCGGTGTCAGTCAGCTAGGACAGCCTCAACTGACGTATAAGCTCAAAAAAAAGCAACAGGACTACCTGATGTCTTGTTCCTGCTTCCTTATCTTCTTAGTCTTACCACGATCATTGTCAAACAACATACGGTTATCACAAAAAAAAGAAAGCGCCTACAAATAGATGGTTTACTTTCTGCCTAATGTTACACAATTTCTGAGTTCAGCCGACCTGATCCGGGTTATTGCGCCGCTAGATATCGGAATCACCTAGAATAGGGGATACGCCTTCTGGTTAGCCGACTTACATGTGGGCCCATCGACTGCAATACTGTGTACAACTTACCTAAGAGTAGGCGTAAATGAGCATAGTATAGCTATTAGATGGCCGTGCTTACCAAGAACGTTGACTATGGTCGTTTGGTTGACCGATGACACTTGATTTGCCGCGAAGCAAGTATATTCCCCGCGGTCATCAAAACGAACCTTTTTGAATTTAATCATAGCTGAATCGTCCGAGTACTGAACACTACCTTCTGGTACCGTGTCAAGAATTTTACCGTGACGCATCCAGCTGATTCTAATTGGCGTATCGCCTTTCGACACCGAGCAAAGAAGACGTGCCCGGGAACTTTCTTCCACCTCGATTTTATTTGGGAAGAAATGGGTGTCGATTTGGGGTGGCACTGTGAACAGAAAGAAACAGCACAAGTATAAATAGGTTAAGCTTCACAAGCTGGATGCTTCATAAGCATCCAAAGAAGAACTATAAAAGATATCAAGTATATTTGGCGAATTAGATGAAAAAGCAACAAAGAGAGAGCGATGGCTTATTAAGTAAATTTGGAAACTAAGAGTCTTAACATATCTGGCGCTCGGACCGTTTCCTTTTCTCCTCATAAGGCACTTTTTCTTCCTATAGTAAACGAACCCGCTATGATAAAGTCCAAGTTCCCTTCAAAAATGTACCCACTCTAGTGCAGAACTTAATTTCAGAAACGGTCATTGTCTCACACAGCAGAATTTCACTAATGTAACAGCGCACTTTTAATTTAGCTGTTGCTCTCGTATGATGGCAAGCCAAAAGAGAAACGTAGAAGCGGGGAGGGAGGGGAGGTAACGTGAACGTCGCGTAATTCATGACAAGTACCAAATACATTCTCTTTATATAAGTCTTTTCGCCTATTGTGTCTACAGCCCCTTACTCAACTCGTCTTGACCAGCTCCTTCCCTGAAGGCGGCAGTAGTAGCTGCAGCTTCTGCAACAAAATTTCAACGCTCTGGGGTCGTCTGCTAAGATGCTGCGACCGCCAATTCCCTATGATTCCTCCACTTTCGTTTCAAAAACCCACACACAATTTTCGCTCTCGCCGTCCGCACAGCCACTAGCTAGAGCCTTAAGAATCTAACTCAAATTTACGCCCTCTGAGAATCTGGCCACTAGCTTGGTTTGCAGTTTCCACCATTGTTTAGTAGTAGTATTATGGTAGCCAAGTGGAGTGACGTTGTCTCCCTATGTCCTTCGCAGCGCTATTGCTTCAGTGCTGTTAGCTGCCAGACTACCAAAAGAAACGTCGTTCAAAATGGTCCACAAGATGCTTACTGAACGTTTGACTGTCTGCGTCTCTGACATTCTCGTTCACGCTGCTCATGCTGTGGCGTTCACATAAAGAATAGTGTTATAGCCAACCATTGCTTGATTCTGGTGCCGCTGTCATTACAGTCTCTACTTTTCTAGGGTCGCTTCTTCTGTCTACGATGCGTAAGCACAGTTGGTCCCATTGGCTGTTCTTCTTTATTCTGTCTATAATTTCGCAGCAGCGATAGAAAGCGGGTAGGAAAAAGCGACCTGGAGATTGTGAAGCACTCTAGGGGACAGACAATACGCCTTGGCGTATTCGGCCGTGGCTTAATAAGGGTCGTTTGTCTTTTACCTTCGACGAACTGCACCCGCTCGCCTGTTTCCCTGCACAGCGCTCCGGCTATCCGCCACTGTTGGCCACCTCGTCGGTCAAGTTGGGCCTAAGTGGATGGTATATCTTACCTACCATACACCTATTCGATGGTACCAAGTTGTTGAGATACTCTTCGTGAAACATTGCGCCAGACGTATTTGGCCGCTTAGCTTACCACCGATAACAACGGCAGTCGCGGTAAAAGCAACCAAAATCGCGAGCTGATAGTAAACAAACAAAGCAAAGAGACGAAAAATTGTTACTACTTGGTGGCAGCTACAATGGGCTGAATATTGCATCGCGCTAATGCGGCAAGTATAGAGGAAAATAGCAATTGGAGGGATAATGCATGGTCGAAATTAGGGAGAAAGGGATAGGGGTAGAGTCCCTTAAGGGGTCACAATGATGCAGCTACGTTCTGTACCAGTGGCAATAGGTAAAGCCTGAATTAGGGCAGAAACTCCTGCTACCAATGTCCACTTTTCTCAGCAAAGTTGCCAGATCAATTAGTCTTCGTGTCATGACTACAGGTTTCTGTGTAATTAACCAAAAACCTAGCAACTAGCGAAAGACGAGTTGTCGAAACTGGCGAAGCTGACGCGGGTGTAGGATCGTAGAATTAGTAATAAAGAAGCGACCAAAGAGCGACAAGAAGGACGAAGCGAAAGAGCAATCCTAAGTCTTGCTCTGGCCCAATAGAGATTAACGATATTCGTACCGCCGGTAGAGCCCTATATACTACATAGACGGTCGCTGAATTTTGTTTACAGCTAAACGGGTTCTGTTATAGTGAAGGAATGTTGTTTAAGTCGAGATATCTGTAATTTCCTTTTTTCTTTTTTTTCTTTTTTCGGTTCTCCCTCTGTCTATTGCTTTCTGGGAACGTAATATACAAATTGCTATTCCAGGCTGCACGGAAATAAACGAACCGGAAGAAAGTGCCAACGCGCAATGCGCGTCATTACGAGAACTTATACGAAATTTTAGCGCTAAACTAAATGCGGGGGTAAGTAGTGACTTCGGTGACGAAAAAGCGTTGTTTTTCTTTAGAAGAAAGAAATCCATTGCTTTTAGGTTAGACTTTTGCTGTTAGCTACAAAATCGTTTTAAGTCGATGTATATGAGCCTGTATTGAATGTATTAAGTTAATTGAATTTTTTTGGTGTAGGTAAGTTCGATAGACTAAATTGGATTGGCATTCTTCTCCCAAGCTTAATGAATTTAGGCCTTCATGCAAAGAAGACGCAGTCAGACTCGCACTTAAGTTTCAATAGGACAGAGGAGGAAATTTTTCTGTTAGACTAACTTACTAAGCAATAATGATAATAACTTAAGCCAACTGCTCCCGTGCATTTACACCCAGGTATCGTCCCCTTATCGGATGAACTACCATTACAGAGTAAACGCAAAGTAAAGAATCATACATCACGCTTTGAAGCAATATAATAGTACAAAGCTGGTCTGTACACCTGTACGATGCAGACGCTACTGAATGTTTTCGTACAGGGGATATCAATGTGGTGTTCCAGATGACTTATGCAACCAGAAGGTATCGAGCGAACAAAAGGAGTATTATTTCTACCCTAACGGTTTTTTAGAAGAGGCCGCTTCAAGCGTTTAGTTGAAGATTACAGTTGTAGATAGGTGGAGCAACCGGCAACAGGCGTGACGATTAGAACATGAAAAAAGAAGAGTCGCGTCGATTTGCGGCCTAAACGGCCACGAAAACGTGGCCCAGCGATCCAGTAAGTCCGCATGTATTCCCAGAAAAAGCCATTCCAACATCCCTCGTTGCAGTATTCCTACCCAAGAACTGCTCATAAACTCCCTTTACTTTCGACCCCTTTAGTTCAGAGCTTGGTGACTACAGCAACGAAAGATTGCCGCAAACTAACCTCCCAATTCTCATCTGTCCTCGCACCCCAAAAGCTCTGAAGTTTGACAACTGTTCTGCTATAAGGCTGTTCCTCCGCAACGGCAGAGAGGAGCGAACGGAAACGCCTCGGGACCAACAGCTTCCCTGTGGTTAAAACTATGTTTAACGACGCCGTCGCGGCAACTATTTTATGACGGCTGAATTATTTATACAACCCGGGTTCGTCAATCGGTCAAAGCTGCTTGACGTTACTCTGCCGTTTCAACGTGTACTGCTGGTCTCTCCAATTCGCACAGTTCCCTGTAGTCACTGTATGTTTCTGACGCCGTCGTACGTGGAACAGAGGAGTAAAGCGGAGGGAATTGTTGTGGGATTGGTAGAAAAAAAATAGGCCGATGACGAAGACCTCCAGTATCTTAAGTTCGATGTTCAGCTGCTCCACATATCGACCGCACCCTTTCACCAGGTTCATTTCTCGCCACTAAGAGTTGCGCTAGTAGAGCTGCCGCTGCTGCGGCGGGGTGACCCTAAGGCTACACGTCGACTTTGGTCTAACTGTGGAACGACAACGGCACCGACATTGGATTGCTTCGGATGCTGGTGGTTTCTGTCGTTGGCCGCCTTTTTCCCACGAGTCCTCAACTACTCCTGCCGTTCCGCGGCTTTTTTCCGCGTACGACGGTGTCACGGACGTACAACGATGTCTAGCCAAAACAATAAGATAAAGCTCCAAAAGCCTTCTCCGACTTAACTCCAGTCATTTCCTCAGCCTCGCCTCCTCTCGCCTCCGCAATAGACCCGTTCAGCGTAGCGCCGATTGTTTTTTTGAACTTTTTGAAATTTGCTCTACGGAAACGTGGGGAAGGTTTTAACTACCAACCCGCCAAACTCAGGTAGATAAAGAAATGAAGGTAGAAAGAAAGCGAGAGAGAAGCAAAATAAGCGACTGTAAATGAGTAGCGATTAGGAAATGTCTGCTTAAACAAAACTCTTTCTGTACCGTGCATATAGTGTTTGTTTCTCTTTTTTAGTGTTTCTCTAGCACTATGAACCCCTTTTCTTTTCGATCTCTCTTCTGTTGGGCCTCGCTTTGTGAACTTCTCAGTGTATCTTCTTGCTTGTACGCTGCGGTCCCCATCGCCATCGGAAACTTCTTTTTACAACAACTGGACAAGCTGAACGAGAAAAAGGACAACGTAAGGCCTAAGGTACAATTCTATAGAGAGTTTAAATCTGTAGGGTGATGAGCGCTGCTCCGGCTTTCGTGCTAGATCTTAAAACCTATACAACGATAGCCTCTCGTCTTTCTTACATTTGAGGCAACAAAGTAAAAAAAGGCGTATTTGCAGTAGGCAACTGTGGATAGGGTATAAAAAAATGAATTTTCAAGTGAAAAATATTTTCGAGAAAACTGCAACAGCTCTACCAGTAATCAGCAAATGATGACTGAGCAATTGTCTCGTTTGCCCTGGCCACCTAGGTGGCTAGTGAAAATGTCCCGCATATACACGGACTGCACTGAAGAGGGGGAAACGGCGGAGCTCCATTCGTTTGATCGATTCGTTACATTATGGCAACAAACGCGTCCACGATAACAGAATATTTTGCACAGAGGCAGTTCTTCACTTAACTACCACTTTTTGTCTCTGCTCCCTTGTGGATACAAGTCGTGCCGACCTTTCGGGACCATTTTGCGAATGTTAGCAGGGACTGTTGTTCGTGATTACCTTTGTGTAACATTTAGCACCTGTATAATTGTCACTTGGCTGGCAATGGAGGCGTATGTACGATTCCACCTGTAAACCTGAACTGATTTTGTCCGTGCGTGGTGAGTCAACGAATATAAAGACTAGCTATCATCCGGGATACGTGAGAGTGACAATTCTGCAGTGGGTATGGTATGAGCACGGCCTTACCCTTTTCTGTCTTAGCCTTTTGACTCACATACACCACAATAAAGGCGACGACGAGAAGTGGTTGGTTATTTATTTAGGAGTACTGAAAGCAGCAGCAGCAGCAGAGGTCCCGAGCAAGTTAACACAGGCACATTGATGCCTTAGATCTGCTGGGCCTTGGCGAAGTTCTGGGAGAATACAAACACAGCTTCACTATACGAACACGCAAATCTTTGGTAGCGCACGAGTCACCCACTTATCCCGGCATCGAAGGTGGACGTATAGTGCACATTGTCACAAGTTCTATCGCTTCCGCAGGCTTCACTCGCTTCGGCAAGAAGGTTTCGATGCTGTGCACCACTCTGGTGTCATTACGGCAAAGGCCCACTATTGCTGCGTACCAGCCAAGCGTAAGGCTGAGTCTTCGGACTTTAGCTTTAGCGAACGTTCTGGGCTGCGGTTTGGCTAGTTATTATTTCACGATGCGGGTATGCGGCCACGCGGATGACAGCGTCCTGACGCATTTGAAAACTCTCGAATCGGTTCTGGTCGAACTGACAGCCGTTGCGTGTCCACGCGTATGGCAGAAAGCCACAGCAGGCAAGTAGTCGTAGTAAGGCAGCAAGCACGCTTGGTGAATGGGTGACGATAGCGTGTACTTTTTTCGCCCGGGGTGTCAGTTGCTCAATGTGGACGACGGCAGTTTCGCCAGTGAAGACGACTAAGGAAAAGAAGACGAAGCTGGAGCGGAGAAGACGGAGAAAAAGCATAAACCCGTCGGACATGTCTGACGAGCGCCATTCTTCGGCGAGGACTTGGCCATTCGAGACGCTCGGCAGCCTAATGGATGCTTTAATGAGTGTGCTTTTTTCTCTTCTCGCCATCGTCGGTGGCCGCGTTGTTGCCATCTTTGTGTCAGTTCCTACACTGTGCTTCACGCGGCCCTATCCAACATGAAAGACAGCTGAGAGTGTGGAAGCAGAGAAGAGGGCTAATATTGAGCGAAGGGAAGGCTTTCCCTTTGACTAGATGTATGCGCCCTTTCGACTGCTATCCAATCAGGTTACACCGATGGCCGCATATCTCAAGGAACGACAGCTTCGAACAGGACTTGCCAGTCCAGAGTAAGAAAAAATCTCTCAGACGACCAGGCACCTACCTTACTTGAGCGCTTCAAAACTTGTCGACTATCGTCTTTGAATAAACAGACTTACAGATAGACACTCACCTTTGAAGTCGAGGACAGTTTTCGAGGTGATCGTGCCACTGGGCCCTTCTACCGTACAAATGTACTCGCCCCCGTCGGCCGGAGCTTGTAATTGATCTATGACAAGTATTCCGTTTTCGCGTAGCATATGCCGGGACGACGAATTTAGGCGGACACCATCTGCAAGAAAAAAGCGCGGAAAGCTAATGTCAAACGTCAACGGTAAATCAGTATGAGTTCTAGTTATAGTTATAACTAAGTTGACCTGTTATAGAGCAAAAAGAAGACTCCTGTTTAATCTAGCTACACGCTAATGTTCACTACACAAAAGTATCCCTCTTATACACTCTTAGATAACGAATAAGCGAATTGCTGTATATAAAAATAGACCAGCTCGTCTTATCTTGAGCCATGGCTAACGCGTCTTAAACTTACGTTATACGCCTATATACAAATGTTTAACAGAAAACGGCGGCTCTTGTTGGCTCTTCTAGTTAACAATCTTCTAGTGGCATGGTCTCCCCGAGCGGAAAAGCAGATCCGAGCAAAGCTCGGCAGCGCGGAAGATGAGACAAGATGAGCAAGGACCCCATAGTAAGAACATAGATTTGGCCATGAGTGGAGCATGGCCTGCCGTAGCGGTATGCGCTATCGGCCCCTCTGTAACAGTACAGGAAGAGGGAACCGCATGGAAGTGACACATGCTTTTGACGGCGGACGTCGGCAACCACGAGGAGAACCGAGAACTAGTCGGGGCCGCGAGTGTCAACAAGCTCTCGCTTTGATAAATGGGTAAAGAAAGCATTTACTGCGTCTCCTTCTGCCTTGTTGCTACTCGCTCAACCCCCTGGCGTCGCATCGACCTGCTCAGACATGCCTTCAATTTGCGTTTCTATGCGTAGTCATCCTGCTTAAAGAGTGCTTACCTTTCATCCAGATAACAGAATCGATGGGATATCCTGCGAACGAACAGAACACCTCGACCCGACTCCCTTGAGTGACTGTCATCGATCGAGTAGCAACTTTGCGTTGTATTTTGGCGTAAATATCTACACGGGCCGTGTGACTGTTCGAACCTAGCTCATTGGTGGCTACACACGTGTAGAAGCCTGCATTGGACACATCCACTCTGAAGTAACAACAAAGAAAATTCTTGTTTTATAATGGGTCGTCACAGTGGGATGTTGTATGTAGTTGTTAACACTTCTTTCTAGAAAAAGTAGACCCGCCGTCCTGGAAGAGCTTCGTTTTAGAAAACATGTGATCATAGTCACGATGATGAGCAAGGATAGGTTCTCATTTGCCAGCAGAAACCTCACAACGGAACTAGAGCACTTATATTTTCTTCGTTATTTATAAAACGCCTGACAGGCATTGCGCATTTATTATAATTTAGGAGCTTTGAAAGCAGTACACATTGTTCCCACTTTCATAGGGGTTTGTGTTTGAGTATATGATGTGCTTGTATAGGATTTGAACGTTGAACGTCTTATTTAATAAGGTGGATGACATCTGTTAGATTGTCAAAAGCCCTGGCTACTCCATACCTGGGTATTGTAAGGTCGGGAACATTTGAATACCGTATTCCGTCGACAAACCACTCAATCGATGGTGCGGGTATCCCTTTGGCTTTACAAGAAAGCATGAGCGAGTGTCCTTCCTCTAATACCGCCGACTTAAACGTTTCAAAAAAGATCGGCTGTGTTCCTGTGTAAGAAAACAAGCACAAGTGATACAAAAAAAACGTGCCATGTATTACATGTTACAGAACAATTAAGGGAACAGGTATTGGCAGCGGCAGCGCGAAGCTCGATACATATCAGCAATTGTAACTGTGATTGGTAACAGTGTAATATCCTTAATAAGTAGATTAACTCTCGGCTCGGAATGGGTAAATCGAAGGATCCTCAAATAAAAAGCTGTTGCCAAAATCAGCCGTCGCTATGTCTCCATATGTATGACAAATACTGTCCCTTATAAAGATTAAATTATCACTCACCTAAAACATTGAGCTCAGCTGATGCCTGGGCGACTTGTACAAGCGCCGTGGTGGATACGAAACACTGATAGATGCCGGAATTGGCCATCGTGACTCTATGTATTGTCAGCGAACTACCTTCCTTCGACTTATAGATGGTAAACCTGAAAGTCATTAGGTTATCACGTTCAGCATTAGTAGGAGTTTCTTCAATCCAATACGGATTTGCTCTCTATTCTTTCGGTCTCCCGTTGCCGCCAGCCTTCGAACCTAGACTCGGGAAAGCTCCGGTGGAAATACTACGCCCAATATATGGGTTAACCTCGAATGCAGATGGCTGACATTCGAGCCCGCCAATTAGTTCATGTAATTAAGCGAGATACCGCGATACTGCGAAGTAAGCACCGGCCACTATTATAGACAACGGCCACAGGCTTCGCCTTCGTGTTTTGCGGTTTCAGGGCAACTGTAGAAGAGGCAGAGAGCGCAAACCGCAAGTTAATCTTGAACAGATGAAAAACATCTAGCAAGCTAAAAACAAAAAATTGGAACAATGGCAGGAAACCGGAACTCAATATAGAGTAGCAGAGAAAGGAACATATATGATGCGCCATACAACACCGTTGTACAAAGCTGATGTATTGTTTTTGCTATGAGTAACAAGATATTGTACAGTATTCCCATCTTCTGTTGACACCCTGTCACATTAGAATATAGTTAGGAATCAGGCAGTAATTAAAGGAATAGTTGAGAGGGCTGAAAAATTAACATCATTAGAATGGCCAAGTATGAGGAGTCAGAAAAAAAAAAAAAAAGAAGAACAAGGACTACAACTTAGAGACATCTAGCTATTTTGATAGGCACATTCCTTGAATATTCGCCACCGCTCAAATAGGACCAACAAAAAAAATGAATAGTTTGTGTCCGTCGCCGCTGCATCTAGCCATTCCCAAAATGCTCTATGGGACAGTGTCTTCAAGCTCCTTCTCTGCATCACAGTTTTCAGGGGATATTTGCGATGGAATTCTACTGACTGTGTGGCACGGTGGAGGCGGGCGGGGGCTAAAAATATAGAGATAGACGGCAGTCGTAACTTCTCTATTCTTTGAATGCTTCTGCGTCGCAAAGACCCATGCCGCCGTCCCATGAGCATAAAGATGCGTCTGGGTCATTTCCATTCGGCGACAGTCGTGCCATAGGGCGTGGAGAGAGAATGTCCATGTCTTCATCCTGTAGGACTTTGACAGTCGAGGCCAGGCAATTCTGACAAATCCTTACCGGCCCAACCCGGCCCTGCTTCTTCATTGTCTAATGCTTCAACATTGAACGATGTGTTTAGTCTCTTTGATTCGTCTTTCAGTGTGCACTGGTTGTCCAGTAGCGTCTTCTCAGGTTTCCTTTCTTTCCGGGTCCGTTTTGCTTGTGACCTCTCTCGCTCTCTCTTTCTGTCTCTCTATACGAGCCCGTCGGATCCTCGATTTGGTTAATGTCATGGACCGACTACACGGTGTTACACTTTGTTATATATCTCCTGAAGTGTTCCCACGGGAGTCTAATAAATTACATGCGCAGCAGCAGTAAGATTTCGGTCTCGAGCAAAGAAATCCCCTTTTCCTACTCCAGATCGAATCTGCCCTATCCGCTGTCGCTACGCAAAGCTTTGCCTCATCTCCTAGTGATCATAAAAGTATCAGGAGTCGCAGCGGTTTTGACGGTCTCATTATTTCTATGTTTCTAGATACTGTATCATTGTATGACAAGCTAGGCACAAGCGAACCAAAATACACACCGTTACGACTTATGGTGAAAAGTCGGAATAGGGCAATTCAAAGATCTTATTGTATACGGCCTCGCAATTATGTAGGCTCAACTTGCTGCACCGCAAGCAAAGCTACTTCTGCATGCTGTCGTAATAACTACTTTTTGTATATCGCGTTCGGTTATTGTCCACCACCTTCAAATGGCCGCGTTATTTTTATTTTGCCCGTTGGTATGTGGGCTGAACAGTGACGACAGAGGCCGCAGCAAAAGTAGATCGACACGGAAATGCTAGTATTGGTGGCCAATAATGATGACGGCAATGATGTCAGGATCCTCCCCCCACAGACGAAAATACGTAATACCTCGCTTTATGTGTTCGCTGTTTGAATTTGTATTCTTGTTTCAATATTTACATGCCAGTATATATATAGGGAAACGAACATGAAAGAAAATACGAGAGAGAGAGGGAGAGAGAGAGGGAGAGGGAGAGGGAGAGGGAGAGATGAGTATCTGTAGGATGGCGTCCCCGATTGTCTAGCATTGACTGCAGTATTAGCGAAATCTAGCAGCTTTTCACTAGCAGACACGGTAACGAGAGCAGCAGCTAGTCGTTGTAGCGATGAAGGCGGCAACAGTTATCGCTTTATTCTTATATACACACACGCACCACAAATGTATAGACACACACTTTCGCTTGTCTTCTCAGTCTTACGCTCACACGAATAGCTATATCAGGTTACGCATGCAAGCATGCGTAAGTAGCATACTGTACATACATTTCCACAAAAGGAAACAAGGGGCAAGCGAGCACGCTGGTACTGGCCGTGTAATTGCCCTTTGCTGTTGGTTCGTGCGTACGATCAACAGCAAAAGACACCACAACAACAACAATAAAAGCAGAAAAAACAACAGCGGTTACTGCAGTGGTGACCGCCGTGGTAACGATGCTGATGGCTATGACATTAAAGGCGGTATTTAAGCAAAAAGCGTTGCTGTATTTGGCTGCATCGTCTGCACGGTCAGTTGAAATCAGAGGAATTGTTATGACTGCCTAGTGGCTAGGCCGTCACGCGGCATGGAACGCCTTTGCTCGCTGTGCTTAGCCACGAACTGGGCCATATGGAGGGATATATGGTAAACGACGAAATGAACCGACGGAATGCCTCTTTACCATTTAGCCAGAAGAAGGAAAGCGAAGCCTTGCCGATGAAAATCATTGTGCGACTATCAGGCCAATTCAAGTGGACTAAATCCCGATGAAGACAACGGCTAGCTGAAGAGAACAACGAACATAACTAGGGGTTTGAACGATGAGGAACCTGGGAATACACCGTGGAACATGTCGAGTTAACCGCCCTTAGAGAGCAGACGGGAGATATCTAAGGACTGTAAATAGTGGACTGGCTTGGTTGTGAAGCAGATCCAAAGTCGGCGTGGCTGACGTGTGGTGCCGATGGTAAAGCAGGCAATGAGGAAGCGAAATAGGATGAGCATTCGCTGAGCCTCATTTGGCTGCCCGACGTGGCACCGAAACTCTACTTCATTTGGTTGTCGAAACAATTGGGAAGGTCGGTCTCGTTTCAGATATGGAAATTAAAACGGCCCTGTAGCGTCCTTCTTTGAGAGGAAGCCTTATGCATTGGACTCTTCCATTGTGACCCCACTCAACTGCTGCGCCTTTCGATCCGTGATAACAGCATGACACTCCCTTAAGCTGACAAAGCAACACAGGATGCATGACCACATCAGTTTCAGAACAAATTCAGATGAATTACATAGTACTAGTCAAAGGGCAGGAGTGACTCCACGAAGATTGGCCTGTTTTAGTGGAATTCAAAATCATTCTGTCCCTCATATAGAATGCGAAATGTTTCATCGTTCAGAAAAGCGTAAAGTGGAGCATACATACTTATACACGAAGAACATTTTGGGAAAACATTATGCCTTTTCAGCAACACAGCTCAAATGCAAGGTACTATGTTTAATGAATCAGTGAATAGCAGATTCCTACCTTGAGCTGGAATCGATCGCCTTTCCGTTATGCATCCACACGATACTGGCATAGGACGCATTCGTACGACACTTGAACGTGGCGGTGGTCAGGATATCGATGACCTGATGCGGCGGATCTAAGCTGATTTGAATCCGTTCTGAAAAACGCCAAATTCAGTTAACTGCAAGCAGGCAAGCTAAGTTTCAAGTAAGCATGCTATCAGGACCTAATTATCATCATCGTGTGCTGCTCTCAAACTGATTATAATTATGCATGGATTCCAAATGTTATCTATCAGCGCAGCCCTTGAATTCAGGGTTTAGATTATTAGCTCTATTAAAGTAAAATAGGGTCAATCCGAATCATAAGAGCTCTTATAGCCCTCTTCGTTGCGTGAAGAGGCATCTACCATTATTAGCTCGACAGCTGCAATCGGAGTTTTTCCTATGATCAGTCCCAGTGTATCCAATCGAAGTAGACATATTGGAAACTATTTAAGTCTCACTAAAAGCAGATAGCCTCCGATTTCGATACCGTACAGATAGTTTGTCACCATCAATGTGGCCGCTCTAGTTCACGATGTCCATTATATAGACGATCTATTGTATGAACGCTTACATAATTTCCACTTTGGAGAGACATTTGACGGCATTAATCAGTCAAGTGTTCCTATTCTGACAGCGCGTAAAAATTGTTGCATCCTAGGAGTTTAGGTAGCGTTCGTTGAACTAGTTAGTTTTAGCGCGTCCAGCCCGTTCGGGCTATTTTCATTCGAGTGGAAGAAGCGCAGACATTCCTGAACAGAGGTCTAAAATTAAACTCCTGTTTGCCTACGCATACAACACAATTGTCGTTCATTGCAAGGCCGTCGACTGGCCTGAACGCATCCGGTCTCTAGCCTTTTAGGAATAAAGGCAGTGCTGATTTGTGCCGGCGGCTTCAGCTACTCCTGACTTTTGAATGTTCGTTATAATACTCAGCCCGCAACACATGAAGAGATAGAAGCGTGCGTGACAGCTCGAGAACAGGTGGGCTTTGAAGGGCGAGCAAAGTCGGGTAATTGCACTCAAGGGTAATTAGCTCCTTACTATATATCGAATAATAAGATTACGCGCGTTTGGCCAATTAAATGTATAGAAAACCTTCGAATTTATTCTATAGTAATTACCAATGCCGATGTTACTGTCCATTGATTAGGTACTGACAGTATCGATCAGTTACAATTCTATGTGGGACTACTGGTGATTGCAGGTGATCAGCGACCAACATAAAGCCGTTGATCTAGAGTTAAGAGTTGCATTACTAGATTCTATTTACTAACTGAGGAACTTCAGGCAGAAGCGCTGCCACTTTTCCCCTTCTCTGGCAAGTAGGCTTACGCTATACATTACATCGAGAATACAGGAGGAAAACGGCCGCCATAGAACGCCTTGCTTCGTCACACTGAGATTCCATCCAACGATCTCTTACTTCTAATACTAACGTAGCGTGGTGACATAACTAGCTACTGTGTTTCTTATTTACAGGACGGCAAGTTTGTTTATACATATGCGCTATATTGCAGTGTGTAGCTGAGTATCTATGCTCATCTTTTGTAGTTTAGCTATAGTTTCTGCCCGAACGAGATAATGATAGCAACGCTAGCGAACCGCACTCTTTCGATGTACACCGAACCTTGTAGGAACGTCCTGTTTCCTCTCCCCCTCACGATAGAATACACACGACTGCGTTATGTTCCCTTTACCAGCGCCTACGCTTTCACTGCTTGTCTCTAAGAATGGATGTTGGAATACACCGATGCTAGTTATGAGGTTTCCTATGAAATGCCTACAGTGTACAGCATAGCACCTCGTAGCAATCCGGAGTTGTCCAAAACAGTGACCCTGTGCCAGCAAAGACAGGCGCGGCCAGCAACTGGCGGTAATACGGCGGATAGGATAGGAAAAGTGAAAAAGCATGCTAGCCAACCTGCCATCCATTCTAACGTCAGTGTCAACTATGGCCATTAAGAAAGGCAAAAAGCCACCTAGCGAGGGACAGTCAAGGCCGGCAGCTTACCCCATAGATTCCACTGGCTTAAATAATGTATTACCGCCAACAGCCTGGTGGCAGGAAAGCTGCACAGCGCAGCCCAGCGTAGTGCTACCGAACGTTCAATGCCTTAAGGCAGTGGGCCGCCAAGGGAGGCGAGACTGCCCTTGTCAATCCCCCCACCACCCGCCCCCACTCCCCACCGTTCGTTCATTACTCGATTCTAACGTAGGGAAAAAAGTCCGAAATGAAAAGACTTTGCTACAACTATAACTTCACCGGTGGCGTACAAAGGAAACGGCCAGACGCACTAACTGTTGGTCCCGCTCACTTAACCCATTGGCAGAAGCGAATCTGTGTCCTATTACTGCTGATGTTTTTGTCACGCCTTGCTGTATGATCTGCACTGTTAAGCACATGTACGGTACCTAAACGATTCTACGACGTGTTGTTGGATATGGCCGAGAAAGTCATCGACGCATCCGCATGAGGTCAAAGATATTCGAACGTTTAAAGAAGAGGGGCTAATGCGCAGGGTGAAAACATATGGATAAACAGAAATTGGTAGGTGACGCTAGCTCTCTGAGACCAGTACGGGCTATGTGTGATGTAAAAAGAAAATTTCTTCAACAAGAATGGTACGAGCCATATATACCGTTAGAAATTGCAAAGTAATTAGCAACTACTAATTCTGAACAAGGGGTGTACGTTGTGGTACGTTCTTACAACTAATTGCTCGCCACCGAGATTTGCGCTACCGGGGCTAACGCAAACCACAAAAAAATATCCCTTTGCAAAACTCAGGTGTACCATTATCTAAGAGCTCTGTTACCGCTAGTAAGGCCGATGCTACTTTAGCTTTATGTATTTTGTCTGACTAGGTTACGTTCCGTAAGTTGTTTTACACAAGCCGCAAAAACTTCGAAAGAACGTTTCCAGGATTAGACTTTTCTAGGTCGCCTCCTTTATTGTCATCGTTGTAGAGGCCGAGGGCTGAATGGCCGAAGGAACGTGTAGAGCATATTCAGCAAAAGTCAGCAGCTAGTAGCATTGGCCAGTGGCCGCAAAGGTCTAACTGTTAAGTTCAACTAACTCGAAGCAACTCGGCCTGGTGGCCTTGAATATATTGCCACCGCTCTTTCCTCCAGCGAAATGTCGGTAGGGGGCAGGTTTGTAGCTATCCGGCGGTTATAGTAGCAGGAAAGGTAACGTATACGATTTCTGAGCATAGAGACTTCCGAAAGGTGTAGGTGTAGGTGTAGGTAAAACGCGCAGAAGACGTACTGCTATAATTTTGAGAGCCTTTGCGAGCAAACGTATTTTAGTTAAAACGAAAATATGACCATCGAGCAATGCTTATGAAACAACGTGAAGTACGACGATGAGTAGAACTAATGTGATTTTCCGTTTTTACACGTAGACTTCTAATGTATGGTGTACATCTTCATATATATATATAGGGTCATACAAATGCTCTGTTGCCATAAGCGTACCGTTTCGTACTGTTTCATAGACGAATAACCAAACATAAAAGGGAAGCACGCATGATATTTCAGAGAACAAATGGCTGCTGTGAGAAGTTTATGGGTCGAGAGTTTGGTTCACTTCCGTGCGGAAGTGTCAATGGCTTCTCACCAAGCTAAAGATCCTAAGGCCCATGGTGAACATTGTCAAGCTGCCTGGTAGAAAAAAATACGGGCCGTTAGATTCACTTCCAGCTTGGGAGGGCGGCACATTATTTGTCCAGTTGAAGCGCGGTGACGAAAATCTCGGGTGCCCTCGAGTTCTCGGGGGGAAGTGAGTATTATACTGCAAGGACGATTCCCTCTCATCTATTTCTACACGACCGAACTAAGGAACACAGGTCAAACAACACTTTTACTCTAGTTTGTTATGCATAAACTAGTTACGTTGGCTGCTTGCACAGCCACGATATAGAGGTAAATGAGTTGTCAATAAATTGAACTGCGCAACAGGCTGAACAGACCATTACAATAACGGAGGATAGACTAATGCTATGTGAGAACGCATCATCGAGAATCGACATTAGGGACCGGAGGATAGTTGGCCATTGCGTATTCTGTCATGAGGCGCTAGCTACATCGACGAGTCCCAGTGCAAATGCTTATCGATAGAGTTACACATTTATTAAATCCTTATATAGATATCAGATTATATCGCAGGCATTACATGTATGGTACATATAATTAGTCAAGGCTTGCCCTTTGGTTGTGAGAGGCTAAATAAACAGCAAGCGGCAAAATTTACTTGTAACTGTATGTTGGACATCAGGCTGAACTACGTACGGTATACGACGTGTAGACGAAGGACAGATCTCTGATCGCAAACAAGCTATCCACCACTCAGGAATCCATATGAAGCGTCGTAGGACGTTTGCACCCCGCTGCGTACAAGTTGGCTTCAAGGCAACGCTGTACAGGGTAGCCTCCGTCGCTTTGTATACGGCCCGTGTCGGTGTCCGGTCGGAACTGCGGACTGTCCCTTATAACAACGACGGTTGTTGCTTGTTCCGCAACCGTTGCTACGGCTACTATGCATAGCAGCAGTAACAGCAGCAGTAGAACAAATAGCCACAAATCATAGACGGTTCCTTTCGGCCGATGCCCGACTTGGCCTAACTCAGCTACGACGAGCACGAGACACAAAGGTCCCACCGACAGCAGCTACAGCTTACAGACGGACTTGCGGGTTCATCTATCTTGGTTTCTCCTAAGCCACATCCGACGGCGGTGGCTCTGTGTCGTCGTCGTGGTGTCTTGCCTTGCTTCGCACGTAAGGTCATCGGTCGTTTGAGGGGAGGCTGGCGGTGGTGCGCTCCGGTGCGAGAACTGCATCTCTCAGACGGCGTTGAACTCCCAAGACGTTGAGAATGATGGCAAAGGGAATAGGGAAAAGGCAAGCTCTTAACGTAGGATAGGAGTTCTCGAAAGAGGAGCGCGAATGGTCGACTAACGCTGACTAGGCTGCTGCCATCGCAGCCGTCGCTGCCCCTGGTCTGTTGGCATATGCGCACTATTCTCATTTTTCATGACTGCCGCCGGCTGCGCGGGACATGTGGTCGTCGCTTGAAAGAGTCGAGCTTGCTCTCCAACGAACAAACAGCCG